CTGGCGCGTCCCTTGGGACGTTCTGCGGCGCGTCCTCCTGGCATGTCCCCCTGTCAATGAGCCCTGGGGCAGCTAGTATGTGCTCAGGCAGCTCGAGCTTAAGATCCAGATCAGTTCGGTCAGGACTCGGATGCAAAGGAGGACTCGATCCACAACGCTATAGAGCACAATCGCGGCATGGCACATCGCAATTCAGCACGGCGCAGCACAGTACAGCCGAGTCGGCACGGTACATCAAGACGGATACACTCAGCATTGTATTTGCCCGTCGCCCAATCAGGTATCTTTGAAACGTTGCCATGCTTTACATTTCTATATTCCTTTCCGGGTTCGTGTGTCGATCATGTTTTTAGATGTTTACCCCTGGCCTCGACTTGAGGTGGGCCGTCGGAATCATTCTGCGAAAAATATGAATGTCGAAGGGGGCCAGCGAAATTGAATTTTGAGGATGTCCCTGACGAAACGCTGGTGTTCCCGGAAAGGGCGCGGCCCAGAGTTCTCTTTTAGTAGGTTCACCCCCGGAATCGATTTGAGGTGGGCCAGCGATTGTAATCTGCGGTAAAGAACAAGGTCGAGGTGGGCTGGCCTATTAAACTTTGAGGATGTCCCGAGCAAGACATGCTTTTTTCCCGGAAAGGGCTTAAGCCCAGGGTTCTCTTTTAGTTTGTAAACTTAGTCCCCCGGTGCCTGCTTGAAGGAGGCCGGCGAATTGCCGGCGAATTTTTTCCCTGATAAATAACGAGGTCGAAGGAGGCCGGCGAATTTTTCCCTGATAAATAACGAGCCCGAGAATTAAAATTAGAGGATGTCTCGAGCGAAACGCTTGTTTTGCAGAGCCGACCGCGACGCGGAAAAGCGCCCCGCGCGAAGGAATTTCGATGATGTCTCGACTAATTCGTTTGTTTTTGTACGATTTCCTGGAATTTTGGCAGGATGTCTCGAGCGAAATGCACGACCCCACCCTAGCACGACCATACCCCAGCACGACCACACCCCAGCACGACCAGACCCCAGCACGACCCCACCCCAGCACGACCCCACGACGACATACCCCAGCACGACCCACCCCAGCACGACCGACCCCAGCACGACCCTACCCCAGCAGACCACACCCCAGCACGACCACACCCCAGCACGACCTCACCACAGCACGACCACACCCCAGCACGACCACGCCCCAGCACGACCACGCCCCAGCACGACCACGCCCCAGCACGACCACCCCCCAGCACGACCACCCCCCCAGCACGACCACCCCCGAGCACGACCACCCCCCAGCACGACCACACCCCAGCACGACCACTCCCCAGCACGACCACACCCCAGCACGACCACACCCCAGCACGACCACACCCCAGCACGACCACACCCCAGCACGACCCGATCGATAAATCACAGGGTGCGGAGCACCCCAGCACGAACCCACCCCAGCACGACCCCACCCCAGCACGACCCCACCCCAGCACGACCCCACCCAGCACGACCACACCCCAGCACGACCACACCCCAGCACGACCACACCCCAGCACGACCCCACCCCAGCACGACCCCACCCCAGCACGACCACACCCCAGCACGACCACACCCCAGCACGACCCCACCCCAGCACGACCACCCCAGCAAGACCACACCCCAGCACGACCGCACCCCAGCACGACCTTACCACAGCACGACCACACCCCAGCACGACCACGCCCCAGCACGACCACGCCCCAGCACGACCACGCCCCAGCACGAGCACGACCACCCCCCCAGCACGACCACACCCCAGCACGACCACCCCCCAGCACGACCACACCCCAGCACGACCACTCCCCAGCACGACCACACCGCCTTGGTTGAGTGGTTGCCTGTCGTCGTGGAATGTTTCGTGGGGTGTCTCGTGGAATGTTTCGCGGGGGTGTCTCGTGAAATGTTTCGTGAGGTGTCTCGTGGAATGTTTCGTGAGGTGTCTCGTGGGCTGTTTCGTGAGGTGTCTCGTGGGATGTTTCGTGAGGTGTTGCCCAGTTGGGTATCATGAAAACGTGTCCATGCTCCACATGTCTATATCCCTTTCCGGGTTCGTGGGTCCATCATGTTTGCAGAAATAGTTGAGGATGTATCGAGCGAAACGCTTGTTTTGTGTTATAGGTTGTCCTCTCTTGGGGACCAGAACCCAGAGGATCTCTCAAGTGAAATGCTTGTTTTCACGTGCCCAGGTCTTGCGGATGTCTCGAGCGAGACGCTTGGTTTCACGCGTCCAGGTTGCCCAGGCGGATGTCTAGCATGAGGATTTGTTGAGGATGTCTCAAGCGAGACGCTTGTTTTCACGCGTCCAGGTCGCCCAGGCGGATGTCTAGCATGAGGATGTCTTGAGGAAATCTCGATCGAGACGCTTGTTTGAGCGTGACCAGGTTGCCCAGGCGGATGCCTAGCATGAGGAGGTGTTGAAAAAGTCTTGAGCGAAACGCTTGTTTTCACGTGTCCAGGTCGCCCAGGCGGATGTCTAACATGAAGATGTGTTGAGGATGTCTCGAGCGAGACGTTTGCTTTCTCGTGTCCAGGTCGCCCAGGCGGATGTCTAGCATGAGGAAGTGTTGAGAAGGTCTTGAGCGAAACGCTTGTTTTCACGTGTCCAGGTCGCCCAGGCGGATGTCTAACATGAAGATGTGTTGAGGATGTCTCGAGCGAGCCACTTGTTTTCACGTGTCCAGGGCACCCAGGCGGACGTCTAACATGAAGATGTGTTGAGGATGTCTCGAGCGAACCACTTGTTTTCACGTGTCCAGTTCGCCCAGGCGGATGTCTAGCATGAGGATGTGTTGGGGATGTGTTGAGTGAAACGCTTGTTTTCACGTGTCCAGGTCGCCCAGGCGGATGTCTAGCATGAGGATTTGGACAGGAGGTACGTTCCGTAGCGCGTCCCCTTGGCACGTCCCGCGGTGCGTCCTCATGGCACGTCCCCTGGCACGTCGCCTGGCGCGTCCCTTGGGACGTTCCGCGGCGCGTCCTCCTGGCATGTCCACCTGTCAATGAGCTCTGGGGCAGCTACTATGTGCTCAGGCAGCTCGAGCTTGATCCATATCAGTTCGGTCAGGACTCGGATGCAAAGGAGGACTCGATCCACAACGCTATAGAGCACAATCGCGGCATGGCACATCGCAATTCAGCACGGCGCAGCACAGCACAGCCCTCGGCACGGTACATCAAGACGGATACACGCAACAATGCATTTGCCCGTCGCCCAATCAGGTGTCTTTGAAACGTTGCCATGCTTTACATTTCTATATTCCTTTTCCGGGTTCGTGGGTCGATCATGTTTTCGTGTGCGGGCCACACACATGGGAATATCTAGCATGTGGTCGTTTGGAGGCCCCCAGCGTGGGGTCCAACAAGAACCAAACAAGCTCAATACAGCGACACCAAATGTGCAATCACTTGACACAGTTTCTGATGTCCCCCTGGGGTATCTAGTACTGAGGTCCCGAGCTGGAGCCATGTGTTTTCACGTGTCCAGGCCACCCAGAGAGGTATCTCACATGGTGGCCCCGAGCTGGAACCATGTGGTTTGACGTGCCCAAGCCACCCAGAGGGGTATATAACATGGTGGTCCTGAGCTGGAGCCATTTGTTTTCACGTGTCCAGGCCACCTGCGTGGATATCTAACATGGTGGTCCCGAGCTTGAACCATCTGTTTTCACGTGCCCAGTCCACCCAGGACGGTATCTGGCATGGTGGTACTGAGCTGGAACCATATCTTTCTACGTGTCCAGACTGCCCAGGGGGTATCTAACATGGTTGTGCCTTGCCTCTAGCTGGAACCATGTGTTTTCACGCAGAGAGGTATTTAACATGGTGGTCTCAAGCTGGAGCCATTTGTTTTCACGTGTCCAGACCACCAGCGTGGATGTCTAACATGGTGGTCCCGAGCTTGAACCGCCTGTTTTCACGTGCCCAGGCCACCCAGGGCGGTATCTAGCATGGTGGTACCGAGCTGAAACCACGTGTTTCTACCTGTCCAGACTGCCCAGAGGGGGGTATCTAAGGTGGTTGTGCCCTGCCCCTAGCTGGAACCATGTGTTTTCACGCAGAGAGGTATCTTACATGGTGGTCTCGAGCTGGAGCCACGTGTGTTCATGTGTCCAGGCCACCCAGAAGGGGTATCTAACATGGAGACCCCGAGCTCAGAGCGCTGGTGGGAGAATAGCTGGCGCCTCGATGCCTTGTATCCTTGTATCCTCCTCCTCCTCTTCTCTCTTGCTCTTCCTCGTGTGCGCCAGCTTGTCGTTTGACGCCAGATCCGTGGCTGGATCACCTGAAACATACACTATTTCGACATCGCAAAGGAAACCCATCCTAACCTCCCCCCTGAAATGGTTGCGCGTTTGATGGGCAGTCGGCAGATGTCTCTGCTCTGGATGCTTCCAGAAGGGCTTCGGAGAAGCAACAGGGCGCCCAAGCGTGCCCATGGCCTCACGAGCGCCCTCAGAGGACGCGACCTCCATAGGGGGCCGTGGGGCCCAGGGGAGTCAGCCCGCCTCCTAGCTGGCCCGTAGATAGCCCCAAGGCGGCCGAAGTGGATTCCACGTCGGGCCGAGAGAGAAATTCGAAGACACCCCAAGATGGCTGAAAGAGGGGCCTCGAGGGGCCCAGACGCTCCAAGACTGCCCCAATACTCTGGAACGGGGCTCCAGGATGGCTCGGCGGAACGCCCCGGGAGGCGAGACTTGCCAGAAACTTCTTCTGTTCTCTCGCACAGCCCTGGCCCCAGACTGAGATGCGACCGAGAGGGTCCAAGACTGCGCCTGGGGCCCCGTGAGGGCCCAAGAAGGCCCCAAGATGATATCGAAGGCCGATGCCGATGCCAATGCCGACGGCGACTCCGCCGACTCCGATGCCGACGCGACGCCGTCGCCGATGCCCATGCCGATGCCGACGGCGATGCTCACGCCCACGCCGCCGCCGCCGCCGCCGCCGACGACGACGACGACGATCGCGCTCGCCGCTCGCGGGCCGCAGAGGTCGTCCAGGCGAGGTCGTCCAAGGCCGCCTCTATCCTCAGCGACACGAACTACAGGAACTGGAGGGTTCCCCCTTCTCCTCATTCTCACCCTCCTCTCCTCCTCCTTCTCCTCCTCCTACTTTCCTCCTCCCTCCTCCCTACTCCCCACCTCCTCCTCCTCCTCCTTCTCCTCCTTCTCCTCCTCCTCCTCCTCCTCCTCCTCCCGACGACACGGACAGAGCCCGCCGTGGCGCCTTCGACGAACTCGAGACGCTCTCCGAGACCCTGCACCAGTGGGCCTCCGACTGGCTCCCGTCGCTCTACTTCGATCCTCAGCGTGATGACAAAGCGGATTGGCGTGCATGGTGTGAGGAGTATGTTCTTATATGTTCTTCGCGTACTCCGTCGAGACAGCTTTCTGGTACTATTCCGAGGTGTATCTGACCTGCAGCTGCGCAATCGAGCCAGTCGTATTTGTTCAGACGCTTGGTTCTTCACAGTGACGAACCGCCGCCAAACGGCAACGTGTTCCTCGGCACGCGCACATCAGAAGTTCAACACCGTTTCTCTGCCTCCGCTGCTGAAGATCGTGCTCGGCGCAGTCTGATACTGGACGTCGATCTCCAAAACGACAACTCCGACTACCTTCCAGATCTCAGCGAGGACATAACCGAGCAATACGCGGACAGCAACGACATGACTATGTTCTTCCAACTGCCGTTTTCCATGCGAAACTCGTGGCGTCGGCTACGACCTCATGTTGCCCAACTACCGCCTTCTCGTTTCTGGCCAGTGATGAAAACCTTGGCTGGCGGGTGGGCCACCTCGCATCGTCTTCATGTACAACCTGTTCGCCGCAGCTGCGTCTTCGGCTGCGACCCCGAGCTCAACCCCGACTCGTTCGCCCACTATTTGGTCTGCAGGCGCATGTGGCATCATTTATCTCTGCCACGTGGTCGCCTTCATCAATGTGTTCTCGCCCGCCGGGGGCTTCACGACGTCAACTACGCCATCAATGGCGACCCTGACAACTACATCGATCATGTGCTGGCGCGCATGGCCGTCGCCTATCGCGCATACCACAACATCCTGGACATGTTCTCCTTCGGCACGGCCGTGGACTACATCAGCTACCACACCCACATCAACGTGGTGAAGGCCGCTCGCTTCGCTCTGAGGCTCGGCTCCAGCACGTTCGGCGGCGCCCCCGTGCGCGGCCGCGCATGAAGCACCTCGTCCGCATGTGGACGTTCGCTCCTCCTCCTCCTCCTCCTCCTCCTCCTCCTCCTCCTCCTCCTCCTCCTCCTCCTCCTTCCTCATTCTCCTCTTCTTTCCTTCTTTCCTCAATTTTCCTCCTCCTCCTCCTCCTCCCCTCCTCCTCCTCCTCTTCCTCCTCTTCCCTCTCCTCTCCTCCTCCTCCTCCTCCTCCTCCTCCTCCTCCTCCTCTCCTCCCTCCTCCTCATTATCCCCCTCCCCCTCCCTCTCCTCCATTCCTCCTCCTCCTCCTCCTCCTCCCCTCCTCCTCCTCCTCCTCCTCCTCCTGGCAGCGGGGCCCCGGAGACCCCGAGTCCGAGGGGATCTCCGGGGCGCTCGGGGGGCGCGCGCGGGCGCTTTCCCGCAGCCCCTCTCGCCGCGCTGGCGCCCGCTCTGACCTTGGCCGCGACCGCGGTGTCATGGTAGGGCACCAGGACGACACCTCCCGGCCTGGGAATGGGCAACAGGGCGCAGTGCCCAGTCCCCGGCCGGATAGCCGCCCTCTTCCAGCCAGCGCTTGGCCGCGAGCGCTGCGCGGGGCGAGGGGCGCCAGCGCGCCCGCGGCGGCCCCCCCAGCGCCGTCGCGGTCGCCTGCTGCGCCCGGCCGCGCGCCCCCAGGCCACAGGCGGGCGCGGCTTGCTCGTCAGCCAGCTCTCGGCCGCGCCCCGCTCCTAGGGCAGCCAAGCGCCCTGTCGGGCAGTTCGCCTTCGTGCCTGGCCCCGCGCAGCTGCTCCCTCGGCGCCCCCAGCTCCCAGACCAGCGCCGCGCCAGCTCCCCCGCGCCCAGAGGCCGCGCCAGCGCTGCCAGCGGCCCCCGCTGCCTCGTCAGCGCCGGCCTCTTTGTCTCCCAGAGTCAGGGCGGACCGCCGCGCTCAGTCCGCCTAGCCCCGTCTGGCGCGGCGCCAGGGCGGACCCGGGCCGCCTGGGTCCGCCAACAAGCGTCGCGCTGCGCCCGCGGGCAGGGCGGCCGTGCGGCTAGCTTCCGCGCTGCTGCGTTGCAGCGCGGCGGCCAAGCGTGAGCTGCCGTCAGGCTCGCCAGGTCGCCTGCTGCCCAGTCGCAAGAGGGCCTGCGCCTCCTTCCCGGCCCGCCCGTGCGTCTCCAAGGCGAAGGCGACCAGGGCTGGGCCTGGGTAGCGCCTGTGCTTCCGCGCCTCCGCCGCCGCCGCCGCGGCCCCGTCGCGCGCGGCGCGGCTCCGTCCAGCGGCCGTGCCCGCGCCCAGAGACGCGTCGGTGATCACCACGTCGGCGTAGGTGGCCCCCGCGACCGCGTCGGTGAAGGCCACGTCCAGCCTCCAGAGTGCCGTCAAGGCGCTGTCTGTCCCAGGCCGGGACGAGTTGTTCCGTCCTCACGCCCGTGGCGCCCCGCGCCGCCAGCCAGCGCGCGAGCCAGTCCCGGACGCCGTCGTGCTTCAGCACAATGCCGCCCCCGACAGGGCAACCCCGAGGATGCCCAGGGTCTGCGCGCAGGTCGGCCCCGCAGCAGGAGCCGTCGGGGCGGCGCCGGAGGCAGGTTGCGCTGGCCCCTGTCGGCAGCGGCAGACGGAGCCGCCACCGCAGGGCGGAAGTGCTCGTCTGCGAGGACGTGGTCTGGCTCCGTGGGCGGAAGCAGCCAGCTCCCAGCGCCTTTCCCGCTGGCCGAGCGGAGGCTAAGCCTGCTCGGCGGGCGGCAGGGAGGCGAGCAAGGCGGCGCGGCGCCGCTCCTGCGCGGTCGCGCTCCGTCGCAGCGCGAAGCCAGGCAGCCGCGCCTCCGCCAGCCGAGCGCCCCGCCTCCGAAGCAGTCGCCAAGGTCCGGGGGCAGGCAGCGGCGAACGCCTCGAGGCTCGGCAGCCCGAGCTCTCGGCGCACATCGGCCAGGGACGCCAGCCAAGAGTCCGCGAAGGCGGGTTGGCGGCGCTCCGCGAGGCTTTGCAAGTCGAGCCCCCCGTCAGCCAAGGGGAGGCAAGCCTGCTCGCGCGCCCCCGCGGTCAAAGGGTGCCCAAGCACGTCTTGCAGGTGCCCCAAGACCCGGCCGCCGTAGTCGGCGCACCAGGCCTCGTCGAGCAGGTGTGCGCGCGCGTGGTGCAGGGCGGCCCCGTTCGCAAAGGCGCGCAGGAGCGTCAGTTCGTCCTGCGCCCGCAGGCCGTGCCAGCGCAAGTCTGGAGCGCCGTCGGGTAGGCAGCCAGGTGCCGGGTCGCCGTTTCTGGTGTGGCCGCCACGCCGAGGCTGGCCGCTGCCAGGTCGCGGTCGTCGCCGAGGCCCTCGGCCGCGGCCCCGCCGAGGAAGGGCGGGCGGCTGCCCACGCACGTGAGCTCGGGCGTCTCCGCTTCGGCCAGTGTCTGCAGCAGCTGCAAATTGTGCGGGTTCCACACCCTGGTCTTGCCCTCGTTCAGTCGCAGCCCGCGCGCTGCGTAGAGCGCCGGCGCGGCTGCCTTGGCTGCGGCGAGGGCCTCTGGCGTGCCTACGAGGTAGACGTCGCCCAAGAACGCCACCACGATGGCGTCCGTGTCCCGCCACAGCGCGTGCTCCAGGTCCTCGTAGAGGGTCGCCGTGGCCGTGGCGAAGAAGGCCGGCGAGAGGGGACAGCCTTGGTCGAGCCCCCGCTCTGCTGTCACCGCGGTGACGGCGCCTGAGAGGTGCGCGCCGTGCGTGGTCGCCTCGCCGTACCACGCAGCCGCGAGGCGCGCGAGGGGCGGGAGCCTGCGCGAGACCTCGCGGACGACGACGTCCCGGTCGACCTCGTTGAAGGCGTTCGCCACGTCAAGAGACAGCACTGCCCTCTGGGGTGCTCTCTCGACGGAGCAAGCCACCACCTAATGCAGCAGCTCGACGCCGCTGCGCCGCCCCACGCCGTACTGGCATGGCCCCGCCGCTTGGGCGATGAGCTCCCTGTGCTGCGTGGTCGCCGCCTTCGCCGCCATGCGGGGCGGGGGTTCCCCACAGGCGAGGGGCCGCACCCCGCCCTGTGGCTTCTGGAGCGGGATCAGACGTCCGCCCAGCAGCGCTCGCGCTGTCGCCGCGGGCGCCTCGCCGCGCAGGATGCAGCCTAGCACCTCCACCAGCGCCGCCTTGCCTTCCGCGTGGCCGCGTAAGGTCGCCGAGTGTTCAAAACGTCCGCCGGTGAGCCCTGGGCCGGAGTGCCGCGGGAACTTTTTCCCGGAAAGGGCTTAAGCCCAGGGTTCTCTTTTAGTTTGTAAACTTAGTCCCCCGGTGCCTGCTTGAAGGAGGCCGGCGAATTGCCGGCGAATTTTTTCCCTGATAAATAACGAGGTCGAAGGAGGCCGGCGAATTTTTCCCTGATAAATAACGAGCCCGAGAATTAAAATTAGAGGATGTCTCGAGCGAAACGCTTGTTTTTGAGGCCGGCGAATTAAAATTTGAGGATGTCTCGAGCGAAACGCTTGTTTTTGAAATCCCGACCTCACCACACCCCAGCACGCACGACCACGCCCCAGCACAACCACCCCCCAGCACGACCACCCCCCCAGCACGACCACACCCCAGCACGACCACCCCCCAGCACGACCACACCCCAGCACGACCACTCCCTAGCACGACCACACCCCAGCACGACCACGCCCCAGCACGACCACGCCCCAGCACGACCACGCCCCAGCACGACCACACCCCAGCACGACCTCACCACAGCACGACCACCCAGCACGACTACACCCCAGCACGACCACACCCCAGCACGACCCGATCGATAAATCACAGGGTGCGGACCACCCCAGCACGACCACACCCCAGCACGACCACACCCCAGCACGACCACCCCAGCACGACCCCACCCCAGCACGACCACCCCCCAGCACGACCACACCCCAGCACGACCACACCCCAGCA